TTGCACTCATGCTCTGGTTCAGCCTCTCATTGCTCAAACTTAACACTACCTATTTCTGAAGCTGCTGTTAAGCAGAAAAGCAGATCCAAACTATTCCTTAATAATATTCTGCTCCTTGACCAGTAAAGACAGCCTAGCACTCTTAAATAATTCTATCTGTTCCATTTGCAAAAGAAGGTACTGTCCTAGCCAGTATTAAATGCCACTTTCAGGATTAATTCAGTCTCTCTATACAACATGTCTCTGCTTTGCAATGTGATGAGAAGAAGGATTGATTGTCTCTGATATTGCATTACCTGGTATGTCATCCATTTCTCCATTGCTGTGTCTGAACCTGTCTCCTTCTACGCGGACATTTGGACACAGGACATCTGCAAAGAGAGGGAAGAGAAAGGAAAGGACATTTAAACTAGAGTTATTGCTAAGATCTCCATTGATTTTTTTTTCCTTTTGTTTTTTTATCACCTCTTGGCAAAATAGAAATAATATTTAGTACTTTTCTACCCTTTTGATAATACGCTGGAAACTCTACGAGCCCTGGGTATCTCCATTGCCAACAAAAACACTACAAAGAAAGTTGTATAAACTGGCGGAAAGAACTGGCATCATAAACAGAATCGACTGCCCAGATTGCAACTGACACCACACAGAGTAAATAAGGCCCCAATTACAGTAAAATAACAATGAACACAAAACTGCAAAGAAAGAAAACCAGAACATCTTAGTGACAGGCTACTTCTGCTGACTGCCAGCTACCTGCAAATCCACCAGGCTCAAGGTTGACTCAGCCTTCCATCCTTCTGAGGTGGGTAAAATGAGAACCCAGATTGCTCGGGGCAAGCTGCTGAACTCTGTAAACTGCTTAGAGGCTGTAAAGCACTCTGTAAACTGCTTTAGGCTGTAAAGCACTGTAAAAGTGGTATATAAGTCCTAAGTGCTATTGCTATCTCATAGCTACCTATGTCCTCAAAATCACTCACACATTTGACTGGAATAATGGAGAAAGAATCAACCAAACAAACATCAGAAGAGTCAGGAATTTCTGAAAGTCTGACACTCAAATCAAGGAGCCATCAGAAGGAAAAAAAAAACATTGGATAGGATTTACAGACTATCAGATACAAGATCCAAACCATTCACCTCAGATTGACAAGGCAGGCCAATCAGAACAGAATTAACCCGAATCAACAGTACAGAATTCAAGCCCACATAGATTATAAATATAGCAAGACAAGTCCCATTTCTGGAAAATTGTACTGATGAAGCTGTATTGGAATGCACAGGACAGAATTTGTAATCTATGCTCTGGTGCAGACCTTCCCAAGCCTAGAGACCCTCAAGCAGAGGTGGTATTCAGCAGGTTCTGATCAGTTCTGGAGAACCGGTAGCGGAAATTTTGAATAGTTCAGAGAACCGGCAAATACCACCTCTGACTGGAGATTTTACAGTATCCTTCCCCTGCCACACCCACCAAGCCACACCCAGAGAACCGGTGGTAAAAAATTTGAATCTTACCACTGCCCTCAAGGAAAGAGTGGTCTACCACTATTCCAAGAGATGGATACACCACTTATAGAACAGACTACTTTTATTCTCTTCACCATCTATTCTTTAGAAAAGAACCTTTACAGGGCAGGCGAGAAAGTTGAACGTTGGGGTAAGATTAGAAACAGCAAGATTTGACATAGAACTCTCTTGCCTGTCTGTGAGACTTTCAATGCTCCCACCGCTCCTGAATAGGGGGGGAAACCCCACCACAACAGACTTAAGTTGGTCAAGGTATTAACATCTAACTGAATTCCTCAGGTCCTAAAAAGTCTTCTAAAGTCTCACTGATTCCTCTAAAGGCCCAAAGCAAAAAGGAACACAACTTATCTTTAAATTCTGGAACAACCTAAAAAAGCTACCTGTGCTATCATGAGCTCCAGCATCACTTTCTTTAGACTGGGGGATAAGCCCGTTTCTTCTCAGGCAGTAGTTGGCAACTCCATGTTTGCGTAAGAGGTGGCGTTCACAGTTAGATTTGGTAGAAAAGAAGGCATCACATTTTTGACAAGGGAAGGGCTTCTGACCTGAATGAAGCAGGGAAAAAAAACACAATAACTCCGGAATTATCCGGATACTCAAATGTCTTTCCACTCCAAGGAAGATTCATGAAGAAGCCATGATTGACTAAGCAAAGAGTTGCATGGGACAGCTGATAAATCCCTTCTACCACGAGAAAAGTTCACGTCAACAAGTTAGCATGTTTCAACCAGTCACAGAGGATGGATGAATCTAATTTTATGATGCAGAACCAGATGATCTTCCTCAACTGTTGAGAATAAACCAGTGTGTTAGCTATAGTGAAGATAATTGCCACCAAGGAGGAGGTACTTATTATAATACTTGTTGGAAGTTATAAGATGTTCAGCCACTTTTCTTTCCACAACAAGGATTTTCTTTCTTTGTTAATTTATATAATACTTTAAAGAATTAGAAGAAATAAGCGTCTCCATGTTTCTAGCCCAGGATGAAGCAGGTTAGATAATGATCAAATCTAAAAAAAAAAAAAAATACTTCTTGGTTATGGAAGAAATTTATTTTGGCCTTCCATCTATCCTGCTGGTCTGCAGACATAAATATGGAATGATTGAAATTGCATTGTTTGGTCAACTTGGAAAAGAAAATCTGAGTTTTCCTAACAAGCGAAGCAAGCTGGGTCTGAAATTTACTAACAGTGAGAACAATTAACCAGTGGAATGGCTTGTCTTCAGAGGTTGTGGGTGTTCCATCACAGGAGGCTTTTAAGAAGAGATTGGACAGTCACTTTTCTGAAATGGGATAGGATCTCCTGCTTGAGTGGAAAGTTGGATTAGAAAGACCTCCAAGGTCCTTTCCAATTTAGTTATTTTGTTATTCTGAAGAAAGCAAACCAACAACTGAAGATAGCTAGCTAAATAAGTGCTAAGCTGTGTACATCAATATATAGCACTTGAACAAATTAGGGCCGCATAGTTCATAGCAGTTCACACACTATTTTCATCTATGACATGTACCATTTAACTCATTAATCTCATTCTAGGAATGTTTGCCCTCTGACATATACCGTTGCCCTTTGAGGGAAGGTCTTGACTATTTGCTTCCTGCTGAAATGCAATAATCCTGCCCTAACTTATGCAATCATGACACTGGACATTATATTGTTTGCAGAATGAACTCCAAAGGCTACAACAGCTGACTAAGAAGCAGAAGAAATAATACACGTACCTTAACAAAAACCAAAACTGATTTACCAAGATCAGGCATGTAATTTTGGACCTGACTTTAATAAATACAGTATGTATCATCAAAGCATATGTTTGTTCAACCAATGCAAGATACTGCACATTTAACAATTATGACCAGATTATGGTACACCACTGGTATGAATAAACAGTTATATAAATACATGCAGGGGAAAAACAAATGAAACATTCAAAACCAATGGAGGCTTATTCATGCAATAGGCTCATGTTTATAAATATGGAATCTCTTCCTCCTGTTAGAGGATTGAGCAGGTTGCTGCTTCATTCATCCCCAAATGTTTTCAGGGTTTCCAGATTTGTACAAAAGTGATTAACAACCATGTCTATTGACCTTCAGCTGAGAAGCAATCATTAAGTGGTATGTATCAAAATAGAATATAGCTGTGTGATGACTCATAATATAAGAAAAAGCCACAGTAATTGGCAAAATATCAAAAAAAAGTCCAAAAGCATCCCAAACAGAATGATCCAGCTTTGTTCAGATCTGAGAAATAATTTTCCTTTCCTTTCCTTTTTTCCCCTGAACAATCCTGGCTCTTTCCAGCATTTTATCAGAGATGGTAAATATTTCTCCCCCTTTTCTTAGAATGTGGAACACATCATTGATTTCAATGTGGTAATAGGAGGCAAACTTGCTTCGTTAGTTCCAATGTTCTTTCTTGGGAAACACAAAAGATGGAGGAAGTGAATACTACTAAAATTCTCATATGTTGCACTTCTTTGCATACAAATAGATGAAGAATTCTAGAGAGCTGGACATGAGAAAAACACTGGGGGGAGGAGGAGGAAGAGGAGGAGGAAGAGGACAGTGTGGCCTTGTCTCTCTCTCTTGAGCTTGGTGGTTTTCTTGCAGACATTTCATGACCCATCTAGGGAACATCATCAGTGCTAGAAGGGGGTGGGGTTTGTGGAAAGGAGGAAAAGGAGGAAGAGGAGGAGGAGGAGAGTGTGGTCTTGGCTCCCTCTCTCTGTGAGCTTGGTGGTTTTCTTGCAGACATTTCATGACCCAACTAAGGGACATCATCAGCCTGGAGAGGAGGAGGAGGAGGAGGAAGAGGAGGAGGAGGAAAGTCATTGCTATTTACATTCAGTCTATAAGTTGTGACTTCTTTTAAAAAAAAAACTTTTCTTTTTAACTATTGGATCTTTCCCAAGGGTCTGGCGTAGTTAAAAATGTTTTCATAATATATGTGTTGTTCCAAGTAATACAGTTTTCATAATTGATGTATTCATATTATATCCATTCCTATTTTTTTCCATGTGGTTTTTGGTAAAGCACATCGACCACAATTATTAAAACCACAATGAAAATTGGAAATAACACCTTAAGACACAGAGGGAAAACATCATTTATAAAACCATGCCTAACTAGCTTTTTATTTCCTGTCCATTCATCGGGCATTCAAATTGCCAGTGCCAAGAAAAACAGCTTCCTCCCTCGCTAACAAGTTTTGAGTCGAAGCCCACAAGTTCCTTTGCCTTCCAGCTGCTCTTCAAAGAACTGAGCCCCAGAATTGATTTAAGGAAATGAAGAGGAACGAGACACAGGAAACTCAAATGGGGAGAGAGACCAAAGTGAAGTCATGGCCCTGAAGACAAATGAGCTTCTAGTAGAGAAGGCACTCAAGCTTGCAAGACTGAGTCCAAAATCTTTAATTAATTGCAACAATTGTCAATGTACGTAGGTGGATTAATTAATAGTGAATCACATGTGAAGCTCCTTTAGATTGGGATTGCTAATTAGATCTTTTTTGTTCACCCTTGTTAACCAAATCAAATCATTTATAATGGATTGTATTGTTATATTTTTCATGAAAAAGGGTCTTTGATATCATAGGTTAGTATGATGTCAGTCATAAGGTGCAAATACCTTATGGGTTGGGATTTTTCTGGTTCGGACCGGGTCGAGCCAGCTGGTAGTTCCGGTGATCATTTGGACTCACCCTGCCCTTTTCCTGTGCTTTATTTCTTTGTTTTTGATCACAGCTGATTTGTGCAGCAGAGCGGTTTCCTGCGCATCAGCTGTTTTACGCACAGGGGATGCAGCCAGAGGTGGTATTCAACTGGTTCACACCTACTCAGGC